GATGAGGTGAGCTTGAACTCATTGTCTGGCACCTCTTTTGATTATGTATGGAAATGCTACTCGTAAATGGGTTCTTGTTCTCGACTTCCTGGAAGTGCCATGTATCCAGGCAGCATTTTGTGTCAACCAGGGATGTCTAAGATGGTTCCAAGTCCCACTGAGTTCTGGCATAATTCAGTGAGGTAAATTGGGTGCTGTGCAGGATCCTCCTGACCTGTCTGCTACTCAGGAAACTCACACACCAGCGAGGCATAGCTGGTTGCACGAGGAAAGGCCAAGGTATTCACAGGCAGCCGTGTTTTAAGGGTGTTTCTTGGGCACAGGATACTTAATAGTTTCACCACTACGAAACCCAGTTATCTGCAGTGGCTGGAAACGTGAAAACTGTGTTTGTAAAGCTCATGCTCCAAGGGCTGCCTGCTATATTAAATTCTGGAGATCTTGAATTAAATGGAATAAACAAATTTGTTTGCACTGCACTAATAATTTGAGGGAGTCTTTTATTTCCACCAGCTTCCTCTGCAGTTGCAGCTAGTGATCCACTTCTAAACACTCATGCACTAGAGCTGTGCTATGCAACCCAGAACTTGAGTGAATGCAGGTAGGCACAGAAATGCAGGCTGAAAAAGGCCTTTTGTGTGAACGGAACGGGGGAAGAACAATTCATTCACATCTTTTTCACTCATTCTTTGCTCTGATGTTTCCTTTGGGAGGGTGGCACCTGGTAGACGAGGAATTTTCAAAAAATAACAGGGATTTCATATATCTGTGAGCACACCTGGATGTGTTGAATATTTTGCAGTAGTAATTATGCCTGCACACCTGCTGGTTTCAGTCCCAAATCAGTTTGCCAGACATGCCTAGAGAGATTTATTTCTCCTATACCTGAAAAAGCTCTTTTACCACTGAGTTTTTACTACTCTAAATAAGCCTAAAGAAAAAAAGAAGAGGGTTTTTCTTGTCTTTCCTTAAGCCATTGGTATCTCAAACTGAACTGCGGTGTTTGTAGGGGGAGGCGAGTGTTTGGATGATATTTTAATAGCAATTTGGTTTTGCTTCGATGTGTGATAGAAATACAAATGACAGGAGTGGGAACAGGAGAGTTGCTGAATTCCGCTGGAATTTTTCCTGTGGGAATCTGTTAATGTTTTTAATTCTCTGAGAGATTTTTCTAAGGTAATCCTTTTGACATTTACATATTTGAAATGACTCTCATTAAATAAAAGCTTACATCAAATGTTGAAGTGATGATACTGGAATACCACTGCATAGAAATTCAAACGGTTTGAAGATTATCCTAATTGCAACCTAAACAAAGTAGGTTTTGTGAGGGATATTACTAATGAACTATACCTTAAAATAACATAATTTTGAAGGAAATTCAGTTGTTCTGGCATTTAGTAGAAATATTTTTTGCTAGAATACCCCTTTTTGATACTTATGCATGCTGTGCTTAGCCATTTGCTAACTGAAATACTGATCTGAGCAGCTGGGGTTTCCACTCCTTACTCACGCAGCAAATATAACCTGTGCAGGAGCCCAGGGGTTTGCAGTGTACCCTGTGAAAAATACTTCTTGCCTGTAGCACATGGGAGCGTAGCCCAGCCCCTGAAGGAGGATGCTGTTACCAGCGCAGGGAAGGCTGGAAGAAATGAAATGTCTTTTAAAAAACAAGAGCATGATGATGGGGTGCTGCATCTCTTACTGGTGGTACCCCCTTGCAAACAAACAATGTTATAAGCAAAATAATTCATATTTTTAAATGTACTTCCGCAGGAGGCAGGAATCATAGCATGAGATATCTCAGGTAGTAGTCTGGCCCTGAGACTCTTAAAGGAAGTTTTATCTGTAGGTTGTGCTTTGCTTGTTCAAGCCTTTGAGCCAGATTGTGCTCTCAGACCAGCCTAAACGCTAAGTGAATTCACTTAATTAAATTTGCTGCAGATATCCTCAGTTAACAAGAACAGATTGGTCCCCCTGAGGCGAGATGGAGTTAACAAGAAAATAAATGTTGTGCTAATTAGAGAACTCATTTTCAGACACCTGGGGTGAAACTTTTAAAAGTCCTAGAGATTTGGGATTGAAAATTCATTTGCAAATGAGTCTTAGGCTCCTAAATCACTTAGGCACTTCTGAAAAATATACCCAGGGGCTTTATCCATCCCACAGCCATCATATTTAGCATCTTTGTAGCTGTCTGCTTAGCAAAGCATGGTGTAACAATTATCTATTAGTATCAGTATACCACAATGTACTTCATTATTCCTCTAAGTAGATATATTGAACTGGTGAGTTCAAGGTAGGCTAAATGTCATTTTTGTGAGGATGCTG